CAGGTGTGGTCAGGAACCCTGGCAGAAGAACAGGACAGGGTGAAGGCAGGAACAGGTTACCAACGATGTTGCTCCCGCAACCTGGGACTGGGCTGACTGGCCTTTATCTCCTCTGAGGCATAGGGCAGCCCCGGTCCACAGGTGACTCGCCTCTCCTGGCCTGGAGGTGAACACGCCTCCTGTGAGAACTTAGTTCCCTCCGCCTCTCTGCCCTGAGCCTCTGCAGCTCAGGAGAGGCTGGAGGGTTACTGGACCCAGAGGCAACCTCAGCTTCCCGTGACGGGGCTGAGAGTGGAGCACCTGCAGGCAATGGGTCCTCAATCACCTCTGGAGCCAGAGCGGATTCAGCTGGTGTCTGCTCCTGAGGATCCAGCACAGGTGAGGGCCCTTCAGGCTCAGGCCCCAACCCTGGCTCAGCTGGTCCTGGAGGCGGGGACTCCTGTGCAGGCTGGGATTCCTCAGGTTCAGCCTCTGAATCCGATTCCCAGGCCATCACAGCCTGACTTAAATGCCTTTTGCATTTTCACCAACCTATGTATTTATATGCACACTTTACACATAGCTCGGCTGGTAGCCCATAAGACTCTTAATCTCAGGTTTGTGAGTTCAAGCCCCACGTTGGGCAAAAGATTCCCACATTGCAGAGGGTTGGATTAGTTGAGCCTCATGGTTTCTTCCAACTCTCCAATTATACGATTCCATAATTCTGTGTCCATCCCTTGCCTGGCTAACCGCACTGCAAAATTCAAAGAAATGAGAATTCCGAACAATGGAAAGTACAAATTTCGGAAAGTACAAATGAGGCAGATTTGCCTTTAAATGTGAACTGATTCAAATGCCTTCCTCACTCCACAAAGTATACCCCAGAAACCACCCCCTTCCATGAGCAATACATAGATGTTGTGATTTTTAAATGAAAAATGAAAATATTTTCTTGTATCCTGATTCTGGAAGAGGAAATTTCCTGACCGCTTCATTATATACCGATTCAGTGCCATACACGATTGACCCACTCCCTGAATTTCCTCCAATGCAAGTTATCTGCCGATTCTTATGGCCGGTGTCTGCTGAGAGCCCCAGGAAGAATGATTGCCAACAGCTGGTGCCTGTAAAATCTATTATTCCTCCTGCTATGGCATAATGAATGAATTAGATCCCACCCATTCTGGAACCTATATACTCTGTGTACTTGTGTGCCCATAAAAGGCATTAAAATGGAAGAGGCTTGAAATAATAATAAAAAAGGAGTGTAATTTCACCTGTTGGTTTTTTTTTTTAAAGATTCCCTACCCATTCTGTTGTTCCATTCCATTTTTATTTTTATTTTTAGTGCCTTTTAAAACAGTACAGTGTTTAATTGATAAGCCTGGAATTGCCAGCTTGCTGCTGGAATGCAGCTTTCTCCGCAGGGAACATCCTTTGTGAAACGATTTGCCGATGAAACAGCATCCTTTGTCAAGCTCAGCAGTGTTGAGTCCCACTACCTACCAAGCCAGAAAACTCTGCTGGGAGCTCATCAGCAGGGGCGCAGAGGTGGTGGGCATCCTGCGCTGTTTGTCCTCGGCAGTTGGCACTCAGGGGTACTGCCAAGGGCAGGATTCTGGAGGCAAATGCCCATAGGCCTACTTAGCAAACTGAGCAGGAGGACACCCCCCCCCCTTAAAGGTGTTCAGCACAATCCCTGATTAGAAGCTTGTGTAGAAATAAATGAGCTTTCCACCCCAAGAATGAGTTTCAAAGTATTACTACAGAACAGTCTTAAAACTAGTTACATACAAATGTTACAAGTAACAAGTAAAATACCAAGTAACACATTGCACTCAAGTAGCAGTCAATACGGTTCATTCCTTTAAATCCTTTAATACAGTCCAATCTTTTCTATCTCTGATCCCAGAGAGAGACTCCATTATGCTGGAAGCTCCTTCTCCCAAGAGACTGAGCTGGTGATTTCTGTGCTGGCTTCCCACAACACAGCTGGCTTCTCAGGTTTGATGAGGGACCTGCTCAGGTTTCAGATGAGTCATCAGGTAGCCTAAACCCTCCAGAATGGGAAAGCACCAGCCTTCCGCTCTCACCTAGAGTGAAACCTCTTGCTTAATGAAAACTACTTTGTTTTGCTAATACAAACGTTTACAAAAGTTTTAACTTCAGTGCATACTAGCATCACATTTTGTGCTCATTAAACACCCTCACACTGAGCATGGCTGGTCTACCATGAAGCAAAACAATACACATTGGGCACTATCGAACTATCGCATGCTGTTAGCACAATGATTTTCACTTGTTCAGTGGGAGTTACCTCCCCAGTGTGTGCTCTGCACCCTCTCCAGTTCTACTCCAGAGGGTTCGGGAAATCCCTAGAACATGTTTAGAAAGTATGGGCAGAGGAGCGGGGGGGGGGGGAGTCCCACTATGCAGGCAGAAGAGTGACAGCTGGTAGAAGAGTGACATTAAATGCAACCCACAACAATAAAATACAAAATACAAGACCATCACGTGCAGGAGAGAGACCTTCCAGATGTTTTGGACTACAACTCCCATCATCCCTGACCACTGGCCATGCTAGCTAGGCCTGATGGGAGCCAGAGTGTCACATTTGGAGGGCAACACATTGGTTACCCTTGATCTAAACTTTTGGGGAAAGCATACAGTACAGACCACCTAGGACATTCGTGTGAGAGGTCTGTACCATGTCAGAAAACATCAAATGAACTTTGGTAGATCTGGTCAGATATCCATCTAGTGCAGGCTTCCTCAAACTTGGCCCTCCAGATGTTTTTGAGACTACGATTCCCATCATCCCTGACCACTGGTCCTGCTAGCTAGGGATCATGGGAGTTGTAGGCCAAAAACATCTGGAGGGCCGACTTTGAGGAAGCCTGATCTAGAGCATCTACTTTTTGCCAACAACACCTCGCCAGATATTTTTGCGAAGCCTGCAAAAAAGGCAGGGGTCACCAATTTTCCTAAGACCCATGAGCACATTGGGAGTTTTGAGTGAGTGCCCAATCCGGTCACTTCACTCCCCCAGATCAGCTCCCCCCCCCCCCCCCGGAGACTGAGAGAAAATGTTTGCATGCACCCTTCACTTTCCCAGAAGATCTGTATAAAACCCAGTAGAAATAATCTGAGCCTTGAAAAGCACATAGAGATGAAAGAGGAAGTGGGAAGGAGCGTCACTCTTCCAACTTCCTCCTTCAGCTCTGTGTACTTTTCAAGGGAGAATAATAATAATAATAATAATAATAATAATAATAATAATAATTTATTTATACCCCACCCATCTGGCTGGGTTTCCCCAGCCATTCTGGGCAGCTTCCAACAAAACACTAAAATACAATAACTTATTAAACATTAAAAGCTTCCCTAAACAGGGCTGCCTTTAGATGTCTTCTAAAAGTCTGGTAGTTATTTTTCTCTTTGACATCTGGTGGGAGGGCGTTCCACAGGGCGGGTGCCACTACTGAGAAGGCCCTCTGCCTGAAAAATTAAAAAATTTGAAAAATTAAAAAATAAAGTGAGAGATTGGCTTCATTACTATCAGATAATGGAGGCATATAATTTGGATAAGAAAATAGGCTTCCAAGTGGAAAAGTCAAAATTAGAAACAGAATTGTTAGAACCCAAAACTAAAAATTTGTCAAGAATGTATAACTTGCTGTTGAAATGGAATACTCAGGATGAAACGGTGAAATCTGCTATGATTAAATGGGCACAAGATGTTGGACATAATATTATGTTCGCTGACTGGGAACAGTTATGGACCACAGGTATGAAGTTTACGGCATGTAATGCCTTAAGAGAGAATATTATGAAAATGATATACAGGTGGTACATGACCCCAGTCAAGCTTGCAAAAATTTATCATTTGCCCGATAATAAATGTTGGAAATGTAAAGAAGCTGAAGGTACATTCTTTCACCTTTGGTGGACGTGCCCAAAGATCAAGGCTTTCTGGGAAATGATATATAATGAACTGAAAAAGGTATTTAAATATACCTTTCTGAAGAAACCAGAGGCCTTTCTTTTGGGCATTGTCGGCCAACTGGTGCCAAAGAAGGACAGAACCTTTTTCATGTATGCTACAACAGCAGCAAGAATACTTATCGCAAAGTATTGGAAGACACAAGATCTACCCACTTTGGAAGAATGGCAGATGAAGGTGATTGACTACATGGAATTGGTGGAAATGACTGGCAGAATCCGAGACCAGGGAGAAGAGTCGGTGAAAGAAGACTGGAAGAAATTTAAAGACTATTTACAGAAATATTGCAAAATTAAGGAATTTTAGAAGGATGTCGGATAGAAACTAAGAGGTTTTTAGCTGTAATGCTTTTAAGAGACATGAAAAAAAAAAGGTTAACAATTGGGTAAAAGATTAATGGTAAGGATTTGCTGAACCAACAAACTGAACTGGAATACAAAGAAGGGAGGTATGAGGAGGTCTGGGAAATAAGAGCAAGGAAGATAGGTTATGGAAAATTATTGTGCTTTTAACTGTTTTATTTTGTATGTTTTTCCTTATTTTCTACTTTTTTGTTATATCTTAAAACTTTATACTTTTTTCTTTATTCTGTATTTTCACATATTTTTTGAAACTTTAATAAATATCATTATAAAAAAAAAGAAAAAAAAGAGAGAAGGCCCTCTGCCTGGTTCCCTGTAACTTGGCTTCTTGCAGAGAGGGAACCGCCAGAAGGCCCTCAGCGCTAGACCTCAGTGTCCAGGCAGAATGATGGGTGTGGAGACGCTCCTTCAGGTATACTGGGCCGAGGCCGTTTAGGGCTTTAAAGGTCAACACCAGCACTTTGAATTGTGTTCGGAAACATACTGGGAAGTACATCTCATGACCAAGAGGGTGTTATTAAGAGAAGGAGGACTCAGAGACTTTGTGAGTATCTCGGGAAGCCATCAAGCGCACACTGTGCCCACAAACATAGAATAATAGAGTTGCCGAGTTGGAAGGAACCCTGAGGATCATCTAGTCAAACCCCCTGCAATGCCCTATCCCATACAGGGCTCGAACCTGCAACCTTGGCATTATTAGCACCATGCTTTATCGAACTGAGCTAGCAAGGCTCATGCTGCTGATCCCTGAAGTAGGGCTTTTTGCAACTTTTAAAAACACATGAGCATTGCGTAAGTTGATGCCCTCTTGAAATCCAGGGAGATCACAAAAAAAATGCAACTCCGCAAGGTGTATGGGAACAAGAGTCTGCTTTTGCCGCCTGACCGAAGGCTTCAGTAGGTAGCTAATTCCCTCCTGTCCATTTTTGCCTCTTTATTTCTCTCCGAATATGCCTGTCTCACGTCATTTCACAGCAGTATCGCATGATAAATGGCTCCTGGTTTGTCAGTGGCACATTACAGTTTCCTGGCTCACTTATTGGCTGGAATTACCGGTGTGCTTTTTTCCATGGGAAACACAGGTTTGAGGCTTCCTTAACAGATGCCATCATTCTCTCTGACGGAAACCTATCAAGTCTCACCGTTGCTTGTCATCTTAATTAAACGTAGGCAAATCATGCACGTCTCCCTGTTTGTTTTAAAGGTTTCATGGGGTTCTTTGTGATGTGTTGCAGATGGTGATATATTGTTATTTAACATTATAATCAACAGTTGGGCAGCAGGAGACCGAAGTAGGACAGTTTCCCCCAAAACTCTTGGTAAGCTGAGACTTCACACAAGTTAACACTCTGGAGGCAGTGAAAAAAACCCACAACACTTTACTTTCAGAGTGTATGAGGGTGGAACCACCACTCGGATGTGTGACTAATTTCAGCCACATTCACACTACATATTTAAAGTAATATTATGCCACATTAAAAGTCAGGGCTTTCCCCAAAGGATCATGGGAACTATAGCTATGGTTGCTAGAATTGTTAGGAGACATCTATTCCCATCACAGAACTACAGGTGGCAACCATTTTGTGCCTGTCCAATTGATGCACATGTTGCTTTTATAAATAATAATAATAAATTTTTATTTATACCCCTCCCTTCCTGGTTCAGAAAACCGGGCTCAGGGCGGCTAACAACACATTTAAAACACTTAATTGATGCAACAAAAAAAAACAGCATAAAATACAGCATAAAACGGGGATAACAATAAATTCAGAATTAAAAAATCAGTTTAGGGAGGAAATCCATCCAATAAACATTAGATGATTACCAGGGCTAGCTGGCTAAATTAGTCCTATTTGGGCCAGCGTGGAGACCAGGGGAGAATTAGCTGTGGGATCCAGAGTGGGTAATCGTCATAAAAAGGGGAGGGGGAGGGAAGGAAGGGGAATAAAAGATCAGGCTAGGTTCAGATTGAAAGCCAGGTGGAAGAGCTCTGTCTTACAGGCCCTGCAGAAGGAAGTTAAATCCTGCAGGGCCCTGGTCTCATGGGACAGAGCATTCCACCAGGTCGGAGCCATCACTGAGAAGGCCCTGGCCCTGGTGGAGGATAATCTGACTTCCTTAGGGCCCAGGACCTCTAAACTATGATTATTCATGGACCTTAAGGTCCTCTGCGAAGCATACCAGGAGAGGTGGTCCCGTAAATTCGAGGGCCCCTGGAAGGGGGCAGGTTGGGGCAGAATGGGTTGTGGGTGACCTGGAACGCAACCTCCATGCAAACAGTTGCCTGTACTGTTCCCAGAAATCACTGGGAAGAGGGATTGTTTGTTAAACCACTCTGGGAATTGTAGCTTCCCAAAGCCTTTGCGGTCGCAAAATATGGCGTCGGGAGACACTTGTGACTTACCTGTACTACGGACGCAGGTGGCGCTGTGGTCTAAACCACTGAGCCTCTTGGGCTTGCCAATCGGAAGGTCAGCAGTTTGAATCCCCGCAATGGGGTGAGTTCCCATTGCTCTGTCCCAGCTTCTGCCAATTTAGCAGTTCGAAAGCACGCCAGTGCAAGTAGATAAATAGATACCATTGTGGCAGAAAGGTAAACGGCATTTCTGTGTGCTCTGGCACTCGTCACAGTGTGCCATTGCGCCAGAAGCAGTTTAGTCATGCTGGCCACATGACCCAGAGAGCTGTCTGCAGACAAACACTGACTCCCTTGGCCTGAAAATGAGATGGGCACCACAACCCCTTAGTTGCTTTTGACAGGACTTCACCATCCAGTGGTCCTTTACTTTTTTTTTAACCTGTACTATATGTAATGAAACAGGGATGCAGGTAGCGCTGTGGTCTAAACCACAGAGCCTAGGGTTTGCTGATCAGAAGGTCACGGTTCGAATCCCTGCGACGGGGTGAGCTCCGGTTGTTCGGTCCCTGCTCCTGCCCACCTAGCAGTTCAAAAGCAAGTCAAGTGAAAGTAGATAAACAGGTACTGCTCCGGTGGGAAAGTAAACGGCGTTTCCATGTGCTGCTCTGGTTCACCAGAAGTGGCTTAGTCATGCTGGCCACATGACCTGGAAGCTGTACCCCGGCTCCTTCAGCCAATAAAGCGAGATGAGTGCCGCAACCCCAGAGTTGTCCGCAACTGGACCTAATGGTCAGGGGTCCCTTTACCTTTATATGTGATGAAACTGTAGAGATGCATGCACAGGTTTGAAAACATGTGGAAGTCTAGCTCAGTCCTTTACAGATACAGAGATTAATGCAGCAATGTCACTCCATGAGGTCCCCAAACACGACTTCCCCTCTCTCTCCTCCCACGCTGTGCCCCTAGGTAAAGATAAAGGGACCCCTGACCGTTAGGTCCAGTAGTGGACAACTCTGGGGTTGCGGCGCTCATCTCCCTTTACTGGCTAAGGGAGCCGGTGTACATGAGGCTAGCATGACTAAGCCGCTTCTGGCAAACCAGAGCTGTGCACAGAAATGCCGTTTACCTTCCCACCGGAACAGTACCTATTTATCTACTTGCACTTGACGTGCATTTGAACTGCTAGATGGGCAGGAGCAGGGACCGAACAATGAGAGCTCACCCCGTCGCAGGGATTCGAACCGCCGATGTTCTGATCAGCAAGCCCTAAACCACAGAGACACCCACGTCCCTCCTACGCTGTGCCCCTACTTCCCCCCAAATCTGTGGGTGCAGTGGGTGCTTATGGAGTGCTCAAGGTGACAAGAGAAAGGGAATGTTCTGTTTTGTCTGTGGACGTTGTTTCACTTGCGCTGTGACTTCGCTGTATTCAACCTCATTTTTCTCAGATGGGTCTTCTTGCTTTGCCCCTGTGCTAAAGCTCCCTCTACAAGTTCATTCCAGAGAGCTTGGCTTTCTATTCTCCGTTTAAACCCAGCTGGACACTGCAAACATGGAGCTGTCTTTTTTGGTCTCTGGAAAGAGAAGACTGTCCCCTGTATGACATAGGACTAATGCCTTGGTTCCATGTAGTAGATTTTTTTATTTAAAAAATGTTTATTTTTGTTTTTGAAATACCAATAATAGTAATTGCAGCATTTTTGGCAATCGTTCTCAGCTGTCAGCACATAATTTGGCATTGCAGCAGTTCGCAAACAGTAATAATTATGTAAATGTTTGTGTGCCGAATGAACAACTGTCATTGGCGATAATGTTCCGTCAAGTTATGGGCTTAACAAACCTTATTCAGCATTTTTTTATTTGAAATGGGAGCAGGGCAATTTAAATCATCACAGGCCATGTTTTCGCTTTTAATTAGATTAAAACGTGGCTGGGGCTGCAATCCGCCAAGCTGTGAAACCGGGTTGCTTGGATTGATCCTGAACACACACCCAGATATTATAGATACAAGACGGGGCTCAGCGTAGGGATGTGTGCCATGTCATTGCTATAATGTGGGGCTCGCTGACCTTTTTAATCCTGTGGGCACATATGGGGTTTTGAGTGAGTGCTATGGGAACCATCCTTTCTGGTCACAGAGACAGAGAGAAAGCTCTTCATCTTTCCAAGGGATCTGAGACCAAGTAGGATCCAGTAGAATTAATTGGAGCCTCGAAAAAACGCATAGAACTTTTCCACCTTCTGCTTCAGCTCTGGGTACTTTTCAGAGATGGAAGGGGTAATCACCCTCACAACTTCATGGCCAGGGAAGATGCCCTTTGTGTTCAGACGCAGTATTCCCTTTTAGCCGATCCCAATTCTCCAGCTTCTTTCTCCAGTTTCATTGAATGACCCATGATTCTAGTAGTAAAGGTAAAGGGACCCCTGATGGTTAGGTCTAGTCGCAGATGACTCTGGGGTTGCGGTGCTCATCTCGCTTTATTGGCCGAGGGAGCCGGCTTACAGCTTCCGGGTCATGTGGCCAGCATGACTAAGCTGCTTCTGGCAAACCAGAGCAGCACACGGAAACGCCGTTTACCTTCCTGCTGGAGTGGTACCTATTTATCTACTTGCACTTTGACGTGCTTTCAAACTGCTAGGTTGGCAGGAGCAGGGACCGAACAATGGGAGCTCACCCCATCGTGAGGATTCGACCCGCCAACCTTCTGATCGGCAAGTCCTAGGCTCTGTGGTTTAACCCACAGTGCTACCCGCGTCCTTATTACAGTGGTACCTCTGGTTATGTACTTAATTCGTTCCAGAGGTCCCTTCTTAACCTGAAACTGTTCTTAACCTGAGGTACCACTTTAGCTAATGGGGCCTCCCATTGCTGCCACGCCGCGCGATTTCTGTTCTCATCTTGAGGTAAAGTTCTCAACCCGAGGTACTACTTCCGGGTTAGCAGAGTCTGTAACCCGAAGTGTTTGTAACCCAGTAAAACATCAAACATTAAAAGCTTCCGTATACAGGGCTGCCTTCAGATGTCTTCTAAAAGTCAGAAGATTCATAGATTCAGTGCTGTTTTTTCTAGAAAAAGGGATGCCAGAACTCATCATGAACGCCTCTCTTGTTCTATTAAAATAGCAATGGTACCCATCTGAGAGGTGCTGGAACTGAGTTCTGGCTGAAAAAGTATAGGCAGGCAGGCAGGCAGGCAGATAGACAGATAGATAGACACTGACACAAAGAATACGTAAGACCTCGTGAGCGTTATGTTCATGTGAAATGGTTCGTCTATAAGCATATTCTGCTGAGTACTTAGCACAAATCTTTGCAGAACAGAGCAGAGGTAGTTCGATTCCTATTTATTTTAATAATAATGAAAATATCTTTA